CCATAACCCCTCTGTACATCACCTTGACAATAAAAAAAAAACAGGAAACAAAAAACATGAGAAAAGATTTTAGACATTTCCTACTTCGTTATTTATCAAGGAATTAAAATCAACATCTTAAACAGACACATGTACTCGCATGAACATTATAGTATTATCTGAAATGGCCAACCTAAATGTCCACCAAAGATTAATGAACACGAAAAATGTAGTATATAACTACAAGGGAATATTACTCAACCATTAAAAGAAGGAAATGTCATCAAGTACAACATAAACGGATCTTGAGGCCAGTATGCTAAATAAGCTAGACACATTAGGACAAATACTACAAGTTTCACTTTCATGAGATATCTAAAACTCATTAAAGCAGACAGGGGAACAGTGGTTGCTAGAGGCTGGAAGGGAGAAAAGTTAAAGCCCGGTGCTGGTGGCTCAAGCCTGTAATCCTAGCTACTCAGGAGGCTGAGATCTGAGGATCACGGTTCAAAGCCAGCCCAGGAAGGAAAGTCCGTGAGACTCTTATCTCCAATAAACCACTAGAAAACCGGAAGTGGCGCTGTGGCTCAAGTGGTAGGGTGCTCGCCCTAAGCTGACCAGCGCAGGGACAGCGCCCAAGCCCAGAGTTCAAGCCCCACGACCGACAAAAAAAAAAAAAGTTAAGTGTAAGTATTCAATCATGAAAAATCAAGTTCTACAGATCCTCCATACAGAAATGTGTTTATAATTTAACAAAACTGTAGGATACCCTCACTTGAAAATCAGGAAAAAAAATCAGTTAAGGGAGATTTCATATTGTGTATTTTTTTAATCATAGAAAAATAAAAGTAAATGTATTTCATAATATCAATTACAGAAATTACAATACAAAGTTATCACCTGTCAATCAGCAAGGATCCTAAAATGCTGGTAATAGTTTCCTGAGGCAGGCTCTCATTTACTCCTGGTTATAGTATAAATTGGCAGGTATAACTGTTTCCAAAAATTCATCAAAACTGCCCTTTCATGCAGCAATTTTACTTGTAGAAATCCTGCAATAACACATGTAAACTCATTTAATATGAGCAAAATTTAAAAATTCTACAAATGTTCTGTAAGAGAAGTGTGATTAATAAATGTTGATATATATATAATAAAAAATACCAGAATTGTTCATGAGATCTCAGCAGAGAGATAATTGATCACAATGCCATATTATGTGAGGAAAAAGTAAGATAAAAAAACTTATACAGATTATCACTATGTCAAAGACAAAAGATGGTGGTAATATTCAGAGATAATTTTTTTTTAAAATGGGTTGTTTCTGGGTAAGAAGTGATGGATGATTTAAAACCAGTTTTTAGAAACCCCCTTCTAAATTTTTCCCAATTTTTGATAAAGAGCTTACACTATTCTATAATAGTACAAACAATAGTTTAGAAAGCAAATATATATGCTCATAAGCTTGTCTAGCAATAAGCAAATATACATGTTCATAAGCTTGTCTAGCAATAAACATTTGACAATGTCTATTTGCTCTGTAGTCTTCGCAAACATAAATATGTGAGACAAAATGTTGAGTGACCCAAAATTAGAATCTTCATTCTAGAAATCCTGGTATTTGTTTTTATTTAAGGCATAGTTAAAACACACACCTCCAAATTTTAATTCTAAAATAAAAATAATAGACATAACAGGAAAAGAAATCAAGAGAAAGCATTACATTTTGTCTGGTAAACATATGGTTTCTTGTAGTCTAAGACGTAGCAAGTCCCTGAGGGATAGTGTGGTGGATCCCTGCCACAGAGGAGTCTTAGAAGGCATAAATGGCATGGCCAGAAGGAAGGGTATGGAAGGGTCTGTTCTGGCAGCAAGGACAGCCAAACCCACCCTGGCTTTCAGGAGATTGGCAGATGGCACAGCCAGATTGTCTTACCAGCCTGGAGCTACTATGTACAACAATTACATTCAAACTCATGGTACAATCAGATTCCTAATATTAGCTGGGAAGTTGGGGGGGGGGGGAGGTCATGTTCTAATTGGTTTAAGTTGTGAGCAGATAGCTGATAAAGGATGGGAAGAAAAAAGACAAGCTGATTTCTTTAGGAACATAAGCCACCAACTCTTGAGAAAAAGCACATTTACCACCACTGCCCCAGCCTACTATTTGGTCCTACTTAAGATGTATTCTTTCACTGATAAGACATTTCCTTGAAGTCAGAGAAAGCAAATTTTAAGAACTTATTTACCACCTAGAAAAGAGATTTCATTTCAGTGGGCACGGGCTATGCTTAATTATTTTTTTAAGCTTGATTGAGTTGCTGGATGTTCAAAATTGGGAGTTTTAGCATAAGCAGGATTTGAGGCTTTAAAAAACATGATTAAATTGATCAAGAGTGAGCTTCCATTGTATCAGAGTGGCTTGATACTCCCTTTAGATGGCGCATTCCTCACTCTGTTTGTATATTGGGATTTCCACATCTGACACCTGTATGTATTCCTGGCTGTGATCAATAGAATTGCTCTTACCAGTGGGAAGCTTTCAGGGTTCACAGTGACTGACAGAAATGAATCTACTTAGAAGCCCTGAGCTGTAGAATAAAAAAGCCTCCATTGATGCAAAGACTCATTCAAAGCAACATTACCTGTAAACAACTTTGAGAAAGACAGACCTAATTAAGGACTATAAACACACTGTCAAAGACACTGGGGGAGTAGAAAGATGCCCCTTTGGAAGTCGGAGGTGTCCTGGCAGAGAGGTAGAGTGGAGGGAGAAGGCTTTGGATGGAGGTTGGGAGGTTGTGTGGGAAACTCTCAGCCTTGTGTTTGGAACTTAGTAGGAGGTTAATAAATATTTGTCTCCATCTTCGTAACAACAGATGCGGAGCACAGCAAGGACGAAATGGAGCCAGAACAGTGTAATGCAATGCACAAAAACACAGCATGCCAAGAGAGGAGGAGGTAATTGTAGCCTAGAGATCAGTAGCAGCTAGAAAATAGACCTGGAAAAGTTAGGATGACAGAGCCAGGTACTGTGTAACTGCAACAGGAACCTGATAGGTCTTCTACAGTCACACATCTATATGGTAAATAGGAAAACAGAGGAGATGAAGATAACATTAATCAGACAGAAATTCAGACAGCAATCACATCAGCACTGGTGTGAAGAAAGAATTCAACCTTTTAGGGAAGGATTCTTAAAATATCCTTAAACTATTTCAGCTAACGAATATTTTAGTTAATAACCAAATTTGCTATTAATAACTAATAACTAATAACTTAGTATGATTTAATAACTCATTTAGTTTTTGTTAATACTTTAATAATGTTGCTAATTCAACTAGTAAGAATTTACTTAGTACTGACCTCAGTTAATATTTAGCTAATATTAATCAATTTAATTGTTAATCTTAGTTAACTTAATAACTAATTTAGGTTTTACTAATAGTATATTACTAAATTAGTTATTAATGTTTTAATTATTAAAATGACCTTTAGTGAAAATATTTTGCATATTTTCTACATGGAAAATAGGCAGGATAGCTCAATTCCCTTTAGATAATTACTAAAATTAGTTGAAGCTAACTTTAATCAGATTTATTTCTAGCTTATCAGTGGTGTGGCTTTTGTTACTTTGGAATAATTTACTTCAAAAGCCTCAATTAAAAAAAAAAAGTCAGTTACTGAGTGAAGTAAAGTCACCAGAAGCATCATGTCACTACAATAATAACCTGTCAGAGAACGTTACACACAGGGTGCTGAACAGCAAGAATGGGAGGTTACAGATGCAATTATTTCTTTTCTAGCCCTTTACTTAGGGTCACAGCCAACCAGGCGCTGTTCATACGAGGCTTTGGCAGTATTTCTTTCTTTTAAATATTCAACAGTCTTGACAGGCAATAATATGTACTTTCTAGTAGGTTGCCAGTTGCTTAATAAATGTTAGAATAATAAAATTCCGAATGATGAAAAACAGCAGTCAGTAAAACTATTATGGTCTACAATATTTTAAAGCCGTAGTAGTAACTTGTAAAAAAAAAAAAAAAAGAACACCACCAAAAACATAAAAAGGAAAGGAGGCATTGGTTAAACCCTGGTCATAAAGGAACATTTGTACTCTCTGCAAAATCCACCCAGGTTAATTTCCTCTTAAATTCTTTCGGGGACTGAATGAAAGCTGGGAGAAAGAGGATAAAGCATACATCAACACACACCCCCCTTCCCCCCTTAAAACAGAAACACCACAAAACTCCCGCGGCGTTCTGCAGAGGGGGAAGCCGAGCTGGCCGCGTCCTAGGCGACTTCGGGGGCCTTCGAACCCCCTCCCAGTCCAGGCTCCCCAGGCGCGGGGTTGCGCAAGCGAAGGCACCCTGGAGCCCAGGGCCCCTGGGTGTCAGGCGGAACCCGGGGACACCAAAAAGGCCAAAGCTTTTGTGGAGCAAGGCAGTTCCTAAGAGTGACCGGGCTAACTGGAGCGGCGCTTGGGGACCCCCCCCCCCCCGGGCGCTGGGCTTAGGGGGACGGACTGGGGGAGGGGGGTGCCCCGTGCGCAACTGGCCGCGGGAAGGAGAGCGGGGGACCCGCACTCCCACCCCCGTGATCGCTCCAACTTTTCGGGAAGAAAGTGGGGGAGAAAAATAGAGCTGCTCCTTTAAGGGCTTCCCTTCCCTTTTACTCTATGTTTACATAACACGGGGCCGGTCCCCGGCGGGCCGCGGGGGCGGGGAGGGGGCGCGGGCCGCGCGCGCGGGCGGGGTGGGGGCGGAGGGCGGGGCGGCGGCGCGGCGCGGGGGGTGGGGGGGGACGGCGGGCGGCTCCCACCTGCCCGCGGCTGCCAGGCGCTCTCCGCGGCGCCCCCGCGCGCCCTCCCCTCCTCCCGCCTCCTGGCGCTCCCGCTTCCCCCCCCCTCCCTCCCGCGGGGCTTCGGCGGCGGCGGCGGCGGCGGCGGCAGCAGCGGCGGCGCTAGGCACCCGCAGGTTCCTCCCCCCCCTCCCCACCACTTCGCCCCCCCACCGGCCGCTTGGTCCCATTTGTTGCGGGGGTCTGGCTCGGGGCGGCCGCGGGGCGCGGAGCTCCGGGGAGCCGGGCCGACAAGTGCGCAGCCACGACGGAGCAGCCGCGGGACTGGCCGCCCCGCGCCCCCTTCGCCGCCGTGCCCTTCCCCGGCGCGCTCACCCCCTTCTCGGGATGGGATTCTAGCGGCGGCGCGGACTCGGCGGGGATCGCGGCGGAGGCGGCGGCGGCGGCGGCCGAGCGGGGCTCCATGTTTTCCCCCGGCCAGGAGGAGCCCAGCGCCCCCAATAAGGAGCCTGTGAAATACGGGGAGCTGGTAGTTCTGGGGTGAGTCGCGGCGGTGAGGCGGATCTCTGGGTCAGCGTGGCGGATGGCGAGCGCCCGCCACCCCGAGAGGGGCCCGTGGGATGGATTCTTTTTTTTGGGGGGGGGGCTGGTGTTCGTTCGGGGACCGCCGGGGCGACTCGGAGGCCGGGGGTGCGCGGTCCGTTGGGAGGAAGCGTTAGCGGCGGTTCCGGCGACCCCGCGGGGAGACGCGCGGACTCGGGGACCGAATCCTCCTCTCGACCTCGGGGTGGCGGGGGGCTGCGGGAGGCCCGCGTTGGGCCGAGGAGGGCGCTCGGGCACCTCCGGGGTCGCTCTCCGGGCGCGGAAGGCCAGCCGGCCGGGGCCCCCGGGGAGTGTGTGTGAGTGGGTGGGGGGGGTCCCTTCGTTTCTCTCGTACCGTGGGTCGGGAGATCCCGTGACTCCGATCCCCCAGAGCGTGGACTGGGGACTCGGGCTGCCCGGCGCGAGCCAGCCTGGGGGGGCGTTGGGGCCGCGCTGGGCGCGCATTGTGACGGTGACCGCCGCGGGCGCTGAACTGTCTGTGACCCGGGCGGGCCAGTCAGCCTCCGCTTCCCCCAGACCCACGGCGGGACCGGGATCGGGACGGGACCGGAGGAGACCCGGGCGTCCCGCGATACCACGCGCGGGGCCGCGCACCCCATCGGGACCCCGCTCTCGGGTGCGGGGCCGGGCTTGGTGCCCGGGTGGCGGGGTGGCGGGGTGGCGGCGGGGAGCTTCGCCAGGCGGCCCGCCTCGGCTCCTTCTTCGCTGGTGGAAAAAAAAAAAGCAACAAAAACCAGCACCACATTTTGAACCTAGTAATTATCTACAATCGTTAAACGGCAGCAATTAGAGACTTCATCTACTTCCTGAGTTTCCTCGTGACATTTCTATTGTTTACCCTTAATGAGCCCGGGAGTGCGGCTTTCCCGGGGATTACAGCGGGATAAAGTGGGCAGAGAGCGGGGAGCGCGCGGGGCGCGGGGCGCGGGGGGAGGAAAAGGGTTCGGAACTCGGTTGATGGCGCGGCTGGGGTTGAGTCCGGGGGGGGGGGGGGGGGGGAGGAAGCAGGGTCCCCTGCGCCGCCTGGGACGGATCAGCCCTGGGAACCCGCGCGTTTCGCGGGCGCACGGCCTGGGTGGAGAACCTCGTGGGTGCTGCGGGGTGGGCTCGGCCCGCACGCGAGCCGTTCTCGTGGCGGCGGACGGACTCTGGGGACTTGGCAGAAACGGGCTTCAAGTAAGTGCTGACTTTAAATTATTTTTTTAGAAGAGAAGCTTCTAGACACAGAACCTCCCCCCCCCCCCCCCCCAAAGTTGCTGGAGTATTAAGCGGGATGGCACTGGCAAGTCTCAGTACCTGTTTCGAAGCTGCTGGCCGAGGGGTACCCCCCCCCCCAACCTGCCTGGGAATTGCACTTCAAAGACAGATGTTGGAGTTCGCTGGCAAGAGGGCGGGGTGTCAAGAGAAAAGCCGCAGTTTAGTCTGCCTTATGTAACTTTCAGCTCAACCTCATTTTGTGGAGTTTGGCTTTTGTTTATGTGGCTGGCTTCAAAGTATGTTTAACACGGTGAACTTGACACGGAAGATTAGCTTAGGCCAGAGTTTTATTTCATTATTTCCTTTTGAGGCCATCATTTGTGGAGAGGTTTCAAGCATGCCAGGGGGTCTGGAGGGGGGGCCGTCTGGAGAGGTTTTGTGTTCTTAGAACTTGGGCAAGCAGCGGGCGTTACAGTCAGGGGAGGGATTTATAGTTTGGATTGCCGACTGGAGTGGGCTGTGGAAATCCCTTGCCCTCTGCCCCCTGCCCTGCCTTTTCCTAATGCTTTGCAGGAGGCACTAAGGATGAAGAAGTTGCTTAGGATGAAGAAGTTGCTTGCTTAACGGTTGCGGCAGGGCACCTACTGTGTGCTGGTACTGTGTAGGAGTTGGGAATCCAGCCCTATAGCAGGAACTTTCTTTTAGTGTGTACCGACAGGCATAAGCAAGAAAGACATATGGATAAATGAATAATAAATGACAATTTCAGTTTCCCCCGTTCTTAGCAAACGTGGTTAGACCTGATGCCTGTAGATGGGCATTGCCTTTTTCAGTTTTCTCAGGGAAGGTCTCTGAGGAAATGAGAAGAAAGAGTAGGAGCTGTTAGTCTGGTTTTTGAATACTTGAACAAGTTGTGGTCTTTTTCTTTTATGGAGGGTTGGTTTCTGACTGCTGAAATATTGAACACACTGAAGCGTGCTGGTCAAAAGTGAACAGGTAGATTTTAAAGAGGCCTTTATTAAGTAGTTGTAATCCAGCCTTAGGACTTGAGACAGTTGTCTTCCTTCTTAAAGGAACAACATTCACATAAAAACGACTATGACTGCATGCCTGATCCTCTAAGACATAAATGTAAGTAGAGAATGTCTAAGTTATCCTTAATGAAATTATTATTGAGGTACAAAAATGCCCAAAGCTTATTATGACAGATTCTTTAACTTGCTTATAAAACACAATAGCTGTGTGACTGTCCTCCCTACTGCCCTTCTTGGTTAAAAAAAAAATGTTACCAGGAAATTCAGAAGAGCACATGGAAAAGTTATTGATAGATGTCTACATTCACATACAAATCTTTTTGCATCTTATGGGTTGCACAATATTAAGAAAATGACACAGAGCTAGGGTTTGATTGGAATGATCACATTTTGTGAAGATCAGTGAAATATAATTCTGACCAGCTACCAATCTTTGTTGGTCCCCTTTTAATTGAAGGTGGAGGAAAATGAATCATCTACACATAGGGGTTTTTTTTTTCCTATTAATTTGAAACTTGGCTAACATTTATAGTTGGGATGTTGTTTAGGATTTGGGAGGTGGTTCAGTAGGTTGGAAGAACATGCATTTATACTTAGGGAGCCTGGATTCAAGTCCTAAATAACTTGCTGACTGGTTTGTGATTTAGGCTTAGTTCCTCCTCCTTTTCTGTTTCTTCAGCAATAATAAAATGATTGACTTAGTAGCTTTTCTTGGTCTGTCCTCTGTAATTCTGTTTGGTAGTTCAAATGTGGAAAATATATAGTAAAATTACAAAATCTAACTTGATATTTGATTGAGAATGTGTGTACTGTCAAAAGTAAGGTTATAGAATTCAAACGAGCACACATGTATCCATTAAAGAGCAGAAAAGACTAATGCTGTGATTACTTTTATGAAGTTATAGATGCACACAGCAGTTTTTTAAAAAAGGTACAATGACATACATATATTTGATTCCTTGGTGTTAGGTTGTTGGCATTGAGTGAAACTTGCCATCCAAGTTTAAGAAGGCACATGATTTTGGACTGGAATTACTAGCATAGTAGGAGTTAATCTGGTAAGAGAACTTAGGACTGGAAGAGGCCTGAGAGGTAATGGTACATATTCAACCCTTTTATTTATGAAGAAACTGGGGCTCGAGGAAGGAGGGAGATTGATTGTATGCTGATCTGAGCCATTCTCCACACAGTTTCCTCACTGTAGGGCAGACTCCAGCCAGCTTTTCTGATCAGAGCCTTATCTGAACTTGGTTTGAAGCACACAGCTGTCTTGTGACTAATGGCCCAGCATATTTTTTGGGGAAAATACAGCTTACTCTCTGAGTTCCTCTCACCTCAGGTAAATTATGCATTTTGTAAGGCTTTATCTTTCATTTGATGCTTCACAGTATGTACTTTTCTATTGGCTCTCTCAACCAAGAATTCTTAACCTAGGAGTAACAGAATTGAGAGATCCACAAAGTTGGATGTTACATGTTTCATGTTACACAAACTGAAGGGTGGGGGTGTGGCTTCATTGATAGAGTATATGCTTAGTAAGCAAAGGGCCTGAGTTCCACTAAAGAAACAAAAATACCATAACCAGCCCTGAATTTAGAATTTCACTCGATTATGAATGAAGGCGAACAGAAGGACCTGTTGTATATTTGTTGTTTAGGGATGCAGCTCAGTGGTAGAGTAATTGCCTGTGTGCAAAGCCCTGGGTTTGGTCCCTATTACCAAGCACTTCCAGAAATAGAGGTGTAATTATTTCCCAGTTTGTCAGTTTTGACAACTAAATACTGCTGATTTCATTTGTAATCAGTCTTCTGTGTTTGAAAAAAAAAAAACAAAAACGTATCTCTGAGTAGAGCTCTGGAGGGCTCACCAGCCTGTCAAAGATATCAGTTGGCACAGGCAGAGGTGCAAAGCCCTTCTTCAAGTGAAGACTAATACAGATGACTGAGAAATGAAGTAAAGGAAAGCAGGAGAGTATAGCCGTTTTGTCAGATAAGACAAAAGGAACTATTGCTTGAAGTGTTTAGCAGTTCCCAATTTCTATATGCTTTGTGTTTGACACTCGGGAATTTGCCTTAATGATTCTTCTCTTGGGTATGTTCAGGAACCTTAAAATATATGCTGACACTTTTCCTTTTTCCATCCTCCACTCTAATTTAGGTCCAAAGACTCCATACACTCACATTTTTTCTTATTATAGAATAAAAGGTTTTTGAACTTAAAAAAATAAAGACAAAAACCCAACCCAAATCTTCCCTGTCACTCAGCATGTGAGGTTGTGGTGTGAAAGGTTCAGATTTGTTTGGATGGATGGAGCGTCTCATTCTGTGGGCTATTAACGGTTATGATGTTATTGGCTTTGGGTTGCTATATTTTCCTGTACTAACTTTAGCCTTGTTTGGAGTATGTGGCCGTCTGTGTGGCTTTGTGGCTTCTAGGCTGGCTTTCTCAGACTTCTTTCTTTGACACACCAATACTGAAGCCTTTATTAAGACTTCCCATTTTTAGTTGTATTTCATCATGTGATCACTATTTGAGGATGCTTTGTATAAGCAAAAATAAAACCATCTTAATTCAGGTTCCAGCAGCTTTACCGAACACATTTTATCCAAAGGATAAAACACACAAAAGACCAAAACAAAATGAAACTGTAGTAGTTGCTGTATTTGAGTGAGACTGATAGTGGCACTGAGGCTGTGACTCTACTAC